CTCGTTAATTTCTGCTTATGGTAGTCAAGGACTTTTCTGGCCTCAAATTTCAAACTCTAACATGTTTTTCCTACAAAGGCCTAAGAATCACATGGTCAGTTTTTATTACAGCCATTGTCCTCTTTCTCCATACCACCTTCCCCATTAGTTACTGTCTCTGTGGTTGTGATACAACACCCTGTCAGGGAGGAAGTGTTCATTTAGGCTTGGGAGAGTCACAAGGCTAGAAGCTTGAAGTAGCTGGTCACCTTGCATCTTGTAGCCAAGAAATTTCCTCTTTTCTGCGCAGCATGGGACCTAAGGCTGGGAATGGCGTGACCCACTTTTATGTGGACTCAATCTTCAGAGGTTGAGGTAGATAATACTACACAGGCCGCAACACAGGCTAACCTAATTTAGATAATCACTCATGGGCACCACCAGTGGCTCATTTCTTAGGTGTTTCTAGATCCTGTCAGGTTGACTGTATAAGCCATTATACACACTATGACAAACTATACCCTCAAAACTGTGAGTCAAACAACCACAGCCCACCCTTAAGCTGCTTTTGTTAGCCCCCCAGTGAGAAAATAAAATAACTAATATAAGGGATAGAAGGGATCCCTTCCTTCCTCTCTTTCTTTTTGAGACAGGGTTTTTCTGTGTAGTCCTGGCTGTCATGGAACTCACTCTGTAGACCAGTCTGTCCTCAGATCCACAGAGTTTTGGCTGCCTCTGCCTCCCTCCCGGGATTAAAGGCCTGCACCACTGTCTAGAGTATAGCATCAGAGAGGCTTCCTCCAGCTACTGATGGAAACAGATGCAGAGGCCCACAGGCAAACATTAAATGGCAGAGCTTGGGGAATCCTGCGGAAGCGGGGAGAGGAAGGATTGTAGGAGCCAGAGGGACAAGGACACCATAAGAAAACCCACAAAATCAACCAACTAGGGCCCATAGTGGGAAAAAAAGACCAAACTGACAACCAGGCAGCCTACGGGGGTCTGTCCTAGGCCCTCTGCATATATGTTACTGAGTACCTTAGTCTTTTGTGAGGCTCCCAACGGTGGGAGCAGTGGCAGTCACTGACTCTTTTGCCAGCTCTTGGGACTCCTTTCCCCCCACTGGGTCGCCCCCTCCAGTCTTAACACAGGGTAGGTGCCTAGTCTCATTACCTGCCCTTTCCTGAAGGGAAATGGAGGAAGGGTGGATGGAAGGGGGGGGGCTAGCTGCAGTGGGGATGTAATCTATGAGAGGGAGGAAGGGGGGATGTTCAGAGTCAGATGACAACGGCTCTCTTCTCAAGGTGACTCTGGCTTCAGCACTCTGGAGTTTTGCTGGGAGATCATGAGAGATCTTTTCCCAAAGTAAGACACTTGTGCTGATTTCGGTAACTCCCCAGCCTTACTGTGAGGCTTCGGAAACTCCCCCAGAACTGGGACCGCCAGCATCTGTACCGATAAGGGTGTTCTGAAACTCCCTTTCTGAGCTTATCCGGGCCAAAGGGAGCCTCCCCACTCTTTACAGATAGGGAGCCAGGACTGCAGATGCCAGGATAACGTGTTTATCTCTGGATGCGGCTGTAGTCGCGTTTCTGAATCCTGCAAGCTTCCTCTCTCGTGGATGTCCCGTGGTCTTCCAGGGTCATCTGCCTCAGGGTGCGGCTATAGAATTGTTACTTTGATTCTCCCCGGTGATGGAGGAGCTGGTGAATGATGGGGCCCCTGTTACGCCATCTCCTCTTCCTCTTTGTTCTCAACATCGACGTCCTCTCCCTCCCGCTCCCCTCCTCCTCCTCCTCCATTTTTTCCCCCAGTCTTGTTATGTAGCCCACTATGCATCTCAACTGAAACTCGCTAAGTATCTCAAACTGGCTTCGGACTTGCAGTTCTCCTGTCTTGGCTGGGATTCCTGACGTGCGCCAGTAAAAGCCTGTCTCGGTTATGTTCCTTGCTGTCACATACCACGACTGAACAATCAAGTGTCTGTCAGTTGTCCTTGCAATTCAAACTGGAAAGCCCCCGAAATGGACCCACCGAGTAGTTACTGTCTTTGTCCTAACTCAATCCCAATGATGGTTTCCTTCCAGACACCATCTGATTAGGTAGACGCAGAAACGTCTTACGGTAACTCACTTTGATTTTCTTCTTTGCCGCCCACACGGTAAATTACAAGATGATCAATACTACAATTTGGCAGGCACTGGCGAGAGTAACAGTAAATTTATCCACCATTGCCTTTGAATCACTGGTGTAAATCTCAACACAGTAGAGAAGGCAAATCATATCCTAGCATTGTTAGGAAAAAAAAAGTGATCTCATGGGTACCCCATTTTGAGAGATTCTTCTTGATATTTAAAACATATTTTCTATTATTTTTAGCTCTCTGTGTGTGTGTGTGTGTGTGTGTGTGTGTGTGTGTGTGCGCGCGCGCGCGCGTGTTTATACGTGAGCATGCGCACATGAGTGCTGGTGCCCATGGAGGTGAGAAGTGTGGAATCATCTGGAGCTGGAGTTACAGATGGTTGTAAGCTGACTGATGTGGGTGCTGGGAACCGAACATGGGTCCTCTGGAACAGCAGCAAATGCTCTTAGTCACTGAGTCATCTCTCCAGCCCTCTTCTGCTCTAGGTTTATGTGCTAGAAAAAAATGCCTTTATTTCTTTAAGGCATTGGTAACTAGACTTTTATTATTTATTTGTTTTTTTTTAATTGGACAAAGCTGAAGTTTATTAAAACACATTTTCAGCATAGGTGTTAAGTACAAGAATTAAGAGAAAGAGAGGCCATTGAGAAAAAAGTAAGACTCTCGAGAGACCATAGGTATGGGCTTCTCAGAGGAGAGCTGTGATCACATGATTAGGAATTAGGCTTTTAAATACAAGGCTTGCATTTCTATTTTAGCAGACTTACCATAATGTCACCAGCTATGCAGACGGAGTCACTCTTCAATTTACAGTTATGTACTTAAATATTTTTTGAGACAAGGTCTCAGATAGCTCTTGTTGGACTCATACTGAATGTGCTGGAGAGTTTTATGTCAACTTGACACAAGCTAAAGTCATCTGAGCAGAGGGAACCTCAAGTAAGAAAATGCCTCCATGAGCTGGAGTTGTAGGCAAGCCTGTAAGGCATTTCCTTAATTAGTGATCAATGGGGGAGGGCCCAGCCCATTGTGGGTGGTGCCATCCCTGGGCTGGTGGTCCTGGAGTCTATAAGGAAACAGGTGGAGTGAGCCACGGGACGGGGGGAGGGGCGAGCTAGGGGGGGGGAGCCACAGGGAGTGAGCAGCACCCCTCCATGGCCTCTGCATCAGCTCCTGCCTCCAGGTGCCTGTCCTGTTTGAGTTCTTGTCCTGACTTCCTTTGATGATGAACAGCAATATGAAGTTTAAGCCAATAAGCCCTTTTCTCCCCAACTTCCTTTTTGGTCTTGGTGTTTTACTGCAACAATAGAAAGCCTGACTAAGACATGGACCAATATCGGAAAATGATCTTGAACTCCTGACCCTCCTGCCTCTGTCTCCCAAGTGCTGAGGTTATAGGCATATGCCACCAAACCTGGCACTTAGCTTTATAAGAAGGTTATGAAACAATCTTGTTTTTTAGCTTTTGAAACACTTATTACTGATTGTAGAGAGGGACTGAAAATAATGACAATGGCCAACATTAGATTTCTATCAAACACATACAGAAATTTCACATGTGCTAGAGTAAATTATGTAGTAGTAGAACAGAGGCCATTTGTAAGAGAATCTCATTTAACATCAAGGAAACCCAAGATAAACTTATGTACTAGTGTTGAACAATCCCCAGGTATGTCAGATGAAACAGAACCACCCTTTGTTTTGATTTTGTTTTATCCACACATAATATTTTTTCTAAAAACATGTCTCATGGGGGTTAGAGAGATGGCTCCACAGTAGGAGTCTTTTCTGTTTTTGCAGAAGACCTGGCTTTCCCAGAACTCACATGGCAGCTCACAAGTGTCTGTAATTCAGTTCCGGGGCATCCAATGTCCTTCTCTGACTTCTAGGACACCGGACTTGTACATGGTGCACATACATACATGTTCAGGCAAGACACTCAAATACGTAAAACAACAACACACAAATCCTTTTAAAAGGTCCCATAGCCTTAGCATCTTTGTGCTGTTCTCAAAAGTGGGCTAGCGTAGCCTTCTCAGAGCATTCTGCTTACACATCAGGACAACACCTCCTTTTGTATGCCACCTCCCTTGTTCCCAACTGTTGCAAATGCAGTGGATATCAGTTCGGCCCAAATCTGCAGATAGCAAGGGAGCGGACACCAGCCTCTGAGTCAGTTCAGACTGTGCGCATAGTGCGGCTGGAACCTGGGGCAAGTAAGTCACTTGGTGTCCTGAGTCTGACGATCGTAGATGTCCTCTAAGTACTGCAGGAGGTACAGCGCCCGGCGCTATGCTAGGCGCATCAAGGCGCTTCTTAAAGGAAAAAAATTGGGTTTGGCTTGGTTCCTAAAGAATTCGTGTAGATTTTAGAAGCCTGTTTTCCTTTGTCAATGTCCTAATTTCACCCCTTCCCGATTTTCCTTCATCCTCTGGGTGCTTATACTTCAGCGTCCAAAAGTCATTCTGAGTGTCTGCCTTCTTGTCTTATCACTTCTTCTTACCATGCTCAGAGCCCTTTACATGGAGGACTGAGTATAGTGTTATGCATGTACGGAATGTCACAGTGAAATTCATCACTGGTTAAAACAATCTATGGAAAGATGATCTCTGTAACTTCTTGATTTGAAGCAAGTTTATCTTTCTTTTCCTTTTGTGTATCATTTAAGTGATTTTACTTTACATATTGGCTATGTTATTGAGTGCACACAAGCTTGTTTAGGATGAAAGATACAGCTTCAAACAAATTGGGAGTGGGAATGGAATGAGAGTGTTTGTGGTAGTTTTTGTAATAGATTTCTCTATTGATGTAAGTTAGGTTAGAGAATATAACCGTTGTGGGCAGAACTGACCAAGTTTTCTCTATTTCAGCCCTTTCGGTCTGGCATGGCAGAAACACCAATGAACGTGTCAACACCAACGCCCGACAATGAAGACACAGTTAAGTATACCTTTCAAATACAATTATGCATTGTGTATTTCAATAAGTAGTTTCAAAATATTGACTATAAGTTGATTCAGGTCTGTTAGCAAAGGAAGCTTGTTATCTTTGGAAATGAATGAACTTTACTACAGATTAGATTTAAATGTAAAGGATGATTTAAATTATTGCTAACATGTTTCTTTCTTTCTTTACTTTTTTCTTTTTGGTTTTCAAAAATGGTGTTTCTCTGTAGCTTTGGAGCCTGTCCTGACACTTGTTCTGTAGACTGGGCTGCCTCGAAGTCACAGAGATCCGCCTGCTTAGGATTAAAGGCATGCGCCACCACTGCCTGGCCATTAACATGCTTGTTGACTCCGTTTATCTTTTTTCTTTTCTTTTTCTTTTTCTTTTTGTGCAAAAACATTATTCTCATTTAGAAGCTAAGGAGACTAAATCAAAAATTAAAATCTCCCTAAAGGTGTCATTAGTTTTGTATCACTGTAACAAAGTACTTCTTGGAGGTAGATGTGTAGAGACTTACTCACTGTCCTCTGCTATTCTATTGTCCCCACACCCCCCTGTACCCCTCCTCTCTGGATCGGAAATCTAAGGAAGGGTAGGAGGCTCTGTTCCAGCTGTGTGGGATCTGCCTCTCTGACAGCTACCTACAGTGGCCACAGGGTCCCTAAGACCCTGGGATTCTAGTCAATCAATCTCCTGTCATAGGAATAGCCGGAAAAGATTTTCTTCCATCCTGTAGTTTGCTTCTTCGCTGTCAATCATTTTCTTTGCTGTGCAGAAGGCTTCTAATTTATTACAATCCTACCTACCAATCTGTCTTCCCCAGATCTGGATATTCTGGGACTTAATTCCCAAAAGTAGTTGCATGAATGACTTGCAATGTCTTTTTCCAGAGTCTTCCAGCCAGCTCTCTGAGCTGCAGGTCTTTTTTTTTTTTTTTTTTTTTTTTTTTGGTTTTTCGAGACAGGGTTTCTCTGTGGCTTTGGAGGCTGTCCTGGAACTAGCTCTTGTAGACCAGGCTGGCCTCGAACTCACACAGATCCGCCTGCCTCTGCCTCCCAAGTGCTGGGATTAAAGGCATGTGCCACCAATGCCCCGAGAGCTGCAGGTCTTAAAGGGACACATGCCTCGTTTACTTTATGTGTCACAGACCAGTTTCCCGCTGCAAGATATTCTCACTGGATTTGTATCAGATGTTTTTGACCAAGGGCTAACTGGGACTCATGGTTGATACCTGATGAGTCAGTAAAATACTGCTGAGGGTTCCCAGTGACAACAAACAAACCAGGAGTCATTGACTCCTGCAGAAGCAGGTTCAGGGTCTTCTCAAGATAGCTCTCATTATGCTACTGTAAGTACGATTTTGAAGAACACACTTCTTTTCTCTTTCTTTCTTTCTTTTTTTTGGGGGGGCGTGTTTTGAGACAGGGTCTCTCTGTATTGTTTTGGAGCCTGTCCTGGAACTTGCTCTGCAGACCAGGCTGGCCTCGAATTTACAGAGCTCCACCTGCCTCTGCCTCCCTAGTACTGGGATTAAAGGTGCGCGCTACCAATGCCCAGCAATCACACTTCTTTTCTATAAAAATATTTATTTGTTTTTATTTTATGTGTATTGGTGTTTTGCCTGCATGTCTGTGTGAGGGTACCAGATTCCCTGGAACTGGAGTTACAGACATTGTGAGCTGCCATGTGGGTGCTGGGGAGAGTAGCCAGAGCTCTTGACTACTGAGCCATCTCCCCAGCCCCTAACACACAACTTCTTGAGAGCCAGATTTCTGTGGGGATCCCACAGTCTGCTGACAGTTCATTTCAACCCAGTCCCACTCCTGTGCTGGTTCTGCTTAGGTTCTCATCTCTGTCCATGTTCTCAGCTGTGTGGCGGTGCAATCAGTTCTGGGGAACCCGCTGTTCCACTGTCTAAGGTTTCTTGAGCTTCCCCAAGCTTGTTTGCACCTTTTGGACTGTTCTCCAGTCATCTCGGTTCTGCCTGCAGGAGAAACTGGTCAGTGCCAGGTGCTCTGTCTGCCATCTTGGATCTGTCTAATGTCCTGCATTTCTTTGGGGTCTGTTATAATGTATCCCTTTTCATCTTTGATTTTGATTATTTAAGTCTTCTCTGTGTTTTTCTTAGTTTAGCCGAAACACATATTAGATAAATGAACTAAAACATTTTTAAGTTCTTTGTTGGCATTTCTTCAATATCATTTTCTTTGGGAACTGTTGCTGGAGAATTGCCATGTTCTTTTGAAATTGACAGTTACTAAAAAAAAAATATTTCCATCTGGCAGTGGTGACACATGCCTTTAGTCCCAGCATTTGGGAGGCAGAGGCAGGTGGATTTCCGTGAGTTTGAGGTCAGCCTGGTCTACAGAGAGAGTGCCAGGAGAGGCTCCAAAACGGCACAGAGGAACCCTGTCTCAAAAACAAATAAACAAACAAAGGAGTTTTTTGTTTGTTTGTTTTTCGAGACAAGGTTTCTCTGTGCAACAGTCCTGGCTGTCCTGGAACTCTCTCTGTAGACCAGGCTGGTCTCAAGCTCACAAAGTGCCTGCCTCTGCCTCCCTAAAGGCATGCCACCGCCACCTGGCGATATTTCCTTTCCTTTTCTTTTTTTTTTGGTTTTATGAGACAGGGTTTCTCTGTATTGTTTTGGAGGCTGTCGGTCCAGCCCGGCCTCGAACTCACAGAGATCCGCCTGCTTCTGCCTCCCGAGTGCTGGGACTAAAGGCGTGCGCCACCTAGGCCCGGCTCTGGCGATATTTCCTTTCCTTTCCTTTCTTTTCCTTTTCTTTCTCTCCCTCCCTCCCTCCCTAGATAGTGACATGTACTGCAGGTTCAAAACAAACCTTTTTTGCTGACAGAGTGGCCACAATACCACGATTACTGAACTTGACAACTGTTGTCTCGTTCCACAGGAATCTTTGTGGGTGCCCCCGGCACCGCTGGGACTGAGGGCAGTTGTTTCCAGCCCTTTGCTTCTGCAGGAGCTTCTGGTGTCTGTCCCATTAGCACAGCTCAACTCAGAAGTGCCACTGCTACCGTTGTCAGGCCGGCCACAGAAAGGGTACTGCACACTCAGGGCTGTGTGGACGACGCCTGCACCAACAGCTAGAATGTCCCCACCCCTCGTGTCCCTCAGCAGCAGGCTCTCTGCAACCCTATCGCAGCATGCACTGTCCCCAAAGCCATTAATTACAGCCACAGACGATGTAGAGAAACTGTCATGCCCAGCTGGAATCAAAGCCAAGACACGCACCAAACTGAAACACCAACCCACGTCCTCAGGAGAGAGCCATTTAGTGGGACACTTTTAAGTGTGGTCAAGACAACCACAGGCACAAATATGATTGCAGGCGTGTAAGAAATGTGGCCAGAAGCCGGGCGGTGGTGGCACACACCTTTAATCCCAGCACTCGGGAGGCAGGGAAAGGCAGATCTCTGTGAGTTTGAGACCAGCCTGGTCTACAAAGCTACACAGAGAAACCCTGCCTCGAATATAAAAAATAAAAAAAATATGACCAGATGCCAGGGAATGAAGGCTCATGCTTTTTAATCCCAGCACTCAGGAGGCAGAGGCAGGTGGATCTCTGAGTTAGAGGCCAGCCTGATCTCCAGATTTTCAGGACAACCTGGGTTGCACAGAGAAACCCTTTCTTGAAGAAAAAAAACAAAAACAAAACAAAACAAAACAAAAAACACAAGACCTGGGAAGAATCCTACAGTGTCTGACCACAGGGTGACTGATGACTGTCAAGAGGTCTGGACCTAGTCGGGCGTTGGTGGCGCACGCCTTTAATCCCAGCACTCGGGAGGCAGAGGCAGGCGGATCTCTGTGAGTTCGAGGCCAGCCTGGTCTACAAAGTGAGTTCCAGGACAGCCTCCAAAGCCACAGAGAAACCCTGTCTCAAAAAACAAAACAAAACAAAACAAAAAAGGTCTGGACCTGCCCTGGCCCCATTAATGGTACTCATGGGAAAAGACAGCCTGCTATTTTCAGACACATCTTGTCCTGCCTCTTAGATAGAATGTTATGGTCTATTCCAATCTTCTAAGTCAGCAGATCTCAACTTTCCTAACGCCATGACTGTTTAATACAGGTCCTCATGCTGTGGTGACCCCCGACCATAACATTATTTCGTTGCTACTTCATAACTGTAATTTTGCTACTGTTATGAATCATAATGTAAATATCCGATATGCAGGGTATCTGATACGTGACTCCAAAAGGGGTCATGACCCACAGGTTGAGAGCCGCTGTCAAGTTCACAGCCTCCCAGTCAGGAATGCTGCAGTTTATAATCACTCCCTGAGCCCATGGTCCATCAGCCCCGCACACTGCTGGAGCACAACCAGGGTTCATGCTGCTGCGGCTGCCTAGTGTCCGGTTGACTAAAGACCCAAGATTCCTGCGATGAGCTCCAGGTGATAGGGTGACAGTCCAACAGACAGCAGGCATGGATCTTCTGACCCTGCACTGAGCCAGAGGCTCCATCAATGGGCACTGGCTCAAGATGGGACTGTGGTAGTTGAGCCAGTGTTAGCTTCTACCCGCCCAACACCAGACTCTAAACGAAGTCCTGTGCTTACCATCTTGTTCAACTTTCCTTTCTCCTTCCTTCCTTCCTTCCTTCCTTCCTTCCTTCCTTCCTTCCTTCCTTCCTTCCTTCCCTCCCTTCTCCTTCCCTTCCTTTCCCTGTTCCTCCTTTTTTTTTTTTTTTCAAGTCAGGGTTTCTTTGAGTAAGAGCTCTGGGTGTCCTGGAACTCACTCTGTAGACCAGGCTGGCCTCGATCTCACAGAGATCTGCCTGCCTCTGCTCCCAAGTGCTGGGATTAAAGGGATGTGCCAACACCCACCACCCGGCTACCCTGGGATTTCTAATGGTGCTTTATTGTCTTCAATTTCTTATGAAATTTAGAAACATACCCTCTCAAAGTGTGATCAGAGGTTGATTCAATTTATTTATAACTAACATCAACATTTGAGTTCTTTTTGCAAAAAAAAGAAACTATACATTTGCATTGAGTAGACAGCGCAGTGATAACCAGTCCTGATTTTTAAAAACATATTCAGTGTAGTCCTTCCAAAGAATGTTATTTCTGATTCTAATGAGAACCGTTTTATTTGTTTTATCTAAGAACAATGAGAACATCCGTTGCTTAACCACTCTGGGCCATTTTGGGTTTGAATGTTTGCCCACGCAGCTGGTGAACAAATCCATCCAGAAAGGATTCTCTTTCAATATTCTCTGCGTGGGTAAGTGCCAGACGTGCATTTAAATTATTGTTTCGTTTGTCTCCTACTCATTTAAACTGATACCAAGCATTATAATATTGATGTTAATTCAGGAACATTTCTTCATATTTATATTGTTTTCCCCTTTCTTAGCTGCATTGTTTAAATACCTCAGAACACTCCAGGCTGGCCTGGTGACACATTTTTTCTTTTTTTTGAGACAGGATTTCTCTGTGTAGCCTTGGCTGTTCTGGAACTCCTCTGTAGAATAGGCTGGCTTCAAACTCACAAAGATCCTCTCATGCTGGTATTAAAATGTGGGCCACCACCTCCCTGATGTGATTTATGTTTTTAATCCCAGTGTTTGGGAGGCTGAACAGACAGATCTCTGTGAGCCTGAGGACAACTTGATCTACATAGCAAATTCCAGGGCAGCTAGGACTACATAGTCAGATCTTGCCTCAAAATTTTATTTTAACTGAAGACATTTCAGTGTTTTTCAAAATCTGACACAGTACAGTCCATTTTCTTTCTTTGCCACGATAGTGACTAAGGGAGTCCAAACCAGTATGAATACTTTCCAGGGACATCTCAGCGTGACTGTTCATTTATGTATTCATTGGAAACAAGTATCATTTTCAGTCAACAAACTCTAATTCTATACATTAGTAGAATATAATCTGTTGCTGTGATACTATCAAGTAGAACGATCAGACCAAGATAAATGAACATAGTCTGTAATTGGACATTTCCTGTTACAATCACCTGGTCCCAAATACAGACTCAGAGGCTGTATTTTATAAATTTATAAATTACAAATGCTTGGCCTATAGCTCAGGCTTGTTACTAGATAACTCTTACATTTAAATTAACCCATCATTCTATCTATGCTCAGCCATGGGGCTTGGTACCTTTTCTCAGTACAGCCTTCTCATCTTGCTTCTCTGCATTTTCCAGTGACTCTCTGACTCAGCCCTTCCTCCTCCTATCATTCTCTGCATCCAACCGTCCCACCCAATCTCTTCTTGCCCTGCTATCGGCCAATCAGTTTGGAGCATTATCCACAGCAATAGAGCTCCTATTCTCCTATCGTTTTAATAATGAGACATTTGAAATGCACTTTTTCATTAGCTGTAGTTAATCTGCTGTGCAATGAATATGAAAGCCTACTCCTGCGTATTTGTAACTATGTGTGCGTCTATTAATAAATCTCAGTTCTAGCCACAGCCTCTTGCGATGATTCTGCCCTTCCCATTCAGGAGTGTGACCAGTTAGAACCATTTAAACCACCCACTGAGGTTCAGCATGCCCTCACACCTCTGCAATGATGCGCTTATGTTTATTGCAGGAGAAACTGGAATTGGGAAATCAACACTGATCAACACACTATTCAATACTAATCTCAAAGAGAGCAAGTCCTCCCATTTCTATTCAAAGGTTGGACTTAAAGTGAAGACGTATGAACTTCAGGAAAGGAATATTCCACTGAAATTGACTGTTGTGAAAACAGTGGGGTATGGTGATCAGATAAGCAAAGAAGCCAGGTTAGTGTCTTCTTACAGTTTTTAAATTAATTTTTAACGTTAGCATAAAAGGTATTGGATTTCATTATGATGTGTTTTTTGTTTCTTTTTTTTTTAAGTAGAGGCCACTCATTTTTTCCTTCTCTCTCTCTCCCTCTCTCTCTCTTGAGATGGGGTTTCTCTGTGTAACCCTTGCTCTCCTCGAACTCTTGATCAGGCTGGCCTCAAACTTAGAGATCCACCTGCCTCTGCCTCCCAAGTGCTGGGATTAAAGACGTGTGCCACCACCACCCAGCAAAATGCATCGATTTTGTCAAGTGCCAAACTGTTTTTCCACACAAATGTTGATTAAATAGTAAGACATCAGACTCAGATTTTATTAATCTGTTGATGCTAAATGTTTCAACTAATAACTTTTTTTTTCCAGCTACCAGCCAGTGGTTGACTACTTGGATGCGCAGTTTGAGGCTTATCTCCAGGAGGAGCTGAAGATCAAACGCTCCTTGGTTGACTATCACGACTCCCGCATCCACGTGTGCCTCTACTTCATCTCACCCACAGGGCACTCCCTCAAGTCCCTGGACCTGATGACCATGAAGAACATCGACAGAAGGGTGGGTTTCGTCACCCCTCAGACTTCCAGGGTTCAATGGATGCTCTGAGATGACGATGCGTCGTGAGGAGTTTCTATGCAATTACTTTAGAATATGTGCATATGTTTAAACGTTTTTTCTGTTGCCCTTCAAAGCAGCCGAATGAACTTTCCAGGGTGCTTCAAACAAAATGCCATAGAGTGGATGGTCTAAACAATAAAAAATAATACTTTTTCACATAGTCCCAGAAGCTAGAAAATCAAGGTGCTAGCATTTATCTTCTTGGCTTGCAGATGGCTGTTTTTTTAAAAGATGTATTTATTTATTATGTATACAGTGTTCTGTCTGCATGTATCCCTGCAGGCCAGAAGACGGAGATTTCATTACAGATGGTTGTGAGCCACCATGTGGTTGCCGGGAATTGAACCAGGTCCTCTGGAAGAACAGCCAGTGCTCTTATCCTCTGAGCCATCTCTTCAGTCTGAGACCATTAAGTTTTTATTTATTTATTTATTTATTTATTTAGGTTTGTTTTTGGAGACAGAGTTTCTCTGTGTAGCTTTGGAGCCTGTCCTGGAACTCACTCTGTAGACCAGGCTGGTCTCAAACTCACAGAGATCCACCTGCCTCTGCCTCCTGAGTGCTGGGACTAAAGGCGTGCACCACCACCGCCCAGCTCAAGTTTTTAATCTTAAAAATACCATTTGTAATATAGTTGCATAACGACACATTCTAAACTGTTGTATTTCCTCAGACAGGTTCTCCTGCCAGAATACTTTCATTTCTAACCTTATACATTTCTTCACTGCTTGAATTTATCATGAGCATGTATTCTCATAGAGGGTCAACTAAATTGGTATTTATATACGTATGTGTGTTTACATATATATCTCACAAGTTCAGATTAAATTTTGTTCATTTGATTAAGTTTTATAGTCATTTATTAGATTTTTTTCCCTTCTGGCTTAGCATAAATGTTTGGGAAAACATGGGATTTGCCCAAGGATTTGAAAAACATGCCTTGAGAATTCTAGAATAACCGCAACTGACATAAAGCTGACATGTATTCATCCGTACCATATTACAGGCTTAAACAGATACAGCTATGAATTGGGTAGGGCAAGGTTAAATGGAAGAGGGAACATTGGTTAATACGCATGTATGGAGAAGTGATTACATGAGTGACAGCTAAGAGAAAAACTCTCTCTCCCAACATTTTGACCAGAGGTCTTTTTGTCATTCGGTTTGATAAGTAATCGGTCTACTGCATCCTACTGCTTAAATTATGCTAATTCCAGAGGCGTTGGGAGCACGAGATTTGGAAAAGAAACAAGGTCAAGGCTTCTAAACCCGAGTTCTTGTAAACGATGAGGGCTCAAGATGGAGCTCAGGGTACAGCATTTATCTAGACCATTCAAGCTTTGAGGTTTTAATCCTCAGCACTCCCCAAACAAGAAATTCTCTGTGGCTGAGTATGATGGGGGCACACCTGTGGGTAACCCCAGCACTCTTCACCATATGCCGGCAAAGATCCTGTTGTAACAGCAGCCGCAACAACAAACACGCGCGCGCACATTCTTTTCCAGGTGTAGGGTCTAGACTGAAAAGCAGTGAAACCTGACCCTCCTCCCTTCTAACAGGTGAACATCATCCCACTGATTGCCAAAGCCGACTCCCTTTCCAAGAGCGACCTCCAGAGGTTCAAGAGTAGCATAATGAGTGAGCTGGTCAGCCACGGCATCCAGATATACCAGTTCCCGATGGAGGAGGACGAAGACGCTGCTCAAGTCAACCCCTCAATAAACGTAAGCTTCGTCTACTGATCACGAGCTCCCTTTCACACGGGAGACCCAAGAACGGTTTGTAATCTTATCTGCACGTTATTGTCGCTTGTACCAGACAAGAGACAATAAGCAATACATTTTCCTCAAAATACATTGTGGGGGAAATGTTTCTTCCCTCCCTCCTTTTCTTCCATTGTTTCAGTCCTTCCTGGCAGGGCTTCACGTGGTTCAGACTGGCCTTGAATTTTCTACATAGATGAAACTGATGCAGCCTAATTCCATCTCCTGAGTACTGGGATGACTGATAGGTGCCGCCGGGCTTGGTTTAGGCAGCGCTTGGGGTTCAAACTCAGGACTTTGTGCATGCAAGGCAAGCCCTGTCTCAACAGAACAATATCCCCAACTATTTAATTTCTTTATTTTGAGACATGCTTACTGTTGTGGGTCTAAGGCTCCAGAGCAATCCAAGCAGACGCAAGAGACTCAAGATTTTATGGGATTGGGCAGCACGACAGAAACTGACAGGTTGGAGATAATAGTACACCTGTGCCAAGTTAGATTGCAGCTTTCACCAATGAGGATTCAAAGATTAGGGACTTCCCTAGGAACATTTTCTGTGATACACTTATCTTATTCTCATTGGTTGGTTCACTCACGTGGGACAGGGCGGCTTGCCCACCATTCAAGTCTCACCTTGACAACCAGGAAGTCATTTGCCAAGGGAGGTCTGGGACGGTCTTGGGAACTTAAACTTTACTTATTCAAAATGGTACATAGTAATCCTAGCATTTGGGAGGCAGAGACAGGAGGTTTTCTGAGTTTGAGGCCTGCCAGGGCTGCATAATGACTCTTGTGTCAACAAAACAAAAAAACAAAAATAAATTGATCTAGATTTTAGTGTTCAATAGACTAAGATGTAAGCACCACATAATCATTAAAATTCAGTGGTTTTAATGTGTTCCCAGATACATGTACTTATCTTAGTGGACAGTTGTACAAGAGTTTCATCTCTTCAAAAATATGCCTTAGCCAGATTATAGGTGGTACTCGCCTGTAATCCTAGTATTTGCAAGATGGTTCAGGAGGGTCAGGAGTTCTGGCTCGTCCTCAGCGCCATAGTGAGTTCAAGGACAGACAATGTCTCAAAAAACCAACTCAAAGTCTCATACCCTTGTTACCTCTTGCTCCGCCTACCTCTCAGGTTCTGAACAGTTGCTGTCTTGTAATTACTTTTTAAAGTATTTATTTTTGAGACCACAATATAATTACATCATTTCCCCGTTTCCTTTCCTCCCTTCAAACCCTCCTTGCTCGTTTTTCAAATTCATGGCCTCTTTCTTCTTTAGTTGTATTCTCATATATATACATACACATACATGCCACATACAAACACAGATATGTCTATATTCTTAAGTATATAAGTACACTTGTGTGTTTGTTTTCAGGGGCTGACCATTTGGTACTGGAGAAACAACTGGTGTACTCATCCCTGGGGAAGGCTTCTCCCTGCTCTCAGGATATATTAGCTGCCCGGAGGTCTTTGTGTAGGGTTGAGGCCTCCTGGGGTCCCCACCCCACATTAGTATATCTACTGTGCTCCTTGGCACTCATGTCGGTGAGACTTTGTGGGTGTAGTTTCTGACATCCCTAAGAGACAGTCTCTCCCTGATTCTCTGCCTTTTATAGTCATTCCGATCTCCCTCCAGTGGTCCCTGAACAGGCTTGAGCGTCATTGTGTTGTAAATGTATCTGTTGGGATCAGGCTCCACAACTCTCTCTCTCTCTCTCTCTCTCTCTCTTTTTTTTTTTGCTATGATTTTCTTTTTTTTTAAGATTTATTTACTTATTATATATACAGTGTTCCACCTGCATGTATGCTTGTACACCAGAAGAGGGCACCAGATCTCATTACAGATGGTTGTGAGCCACCACGTGATTGCTGGGAATTGAACTCAAGACCTCTGGAAGAGCAGCCGAGTGCTCTTAACCTCTGAGCCATCTCTCCAGCCCTCGCTATGATTTTCTGTAGCGATCTATGTTGCAAAGAGAAGTTCCTTGGTGAGGGGTGAGGACTACACTTACTTGTGGGTCTAAGGACAAATATTTAGATCATAGTTAGGGATTATGCTGGCTTAGTAAAGTGGTAGTTCTAGGTTCTCCTCCAAGATCCATGACTTCACTGGCCCCGGGTGGTTGACTGGGTTTCTGTTACCAGACGTGATTTCCCTCTTGTTAACCAGATCTTACCTCCAAAATTAGAAAACTGTTGGTTTCTGCCAAGACATGTGTACCACTACTGCGCTCTTAGGTTACTGTTCATGCTGATTACTGTTGTGGTTCATAGGCATCACAGCTGGGCAGAACCGCTGGCTGCCTCTCTCCTTTGGAAGCTCGAAAGGCATCTTCTGGAACCATGAAAGCTGGTCTTCAGGAAGGGTGTTTTAGCCTTTACCAACAACTCAAAAGAGGGCTTCTCATGCCTGGTGTTGAGTTTTTTGTTAGATGGTGTTTGTGTCTTGGAAGGAGCATTGTCAGCCCAGATGGGAAAATACCATTTAAGCTAGATGTATACATTTATGGACCAATATGTATATTATAGGTATTTTTTATTATGTGGTTTCCTCTTCTAGATATCTCATGTGATGAATAACATGTCATCTTTTGTATCTGTTGACTTCAGTTGGGATAATGTTTTTAAGACTTACAATATTGTACAAGTACCTATTCTTTGTGTGTGTGTGTGTGTGTGCGTGCACACACAGACACACATACACACACGCACTTCTAGATACCATTGTGTGAATATACTACATTTAGGTTTATTCCACATTTTGAGTATTATGAAGAATGCTATTATAAACATTTATGTACAAGTGTTTGTGATGGTATATACTTTAATTTCTCCTGGGTGTGAATATCTAGAAGTAGAATTCTTAGCTCATATGACAACTCTACCTAATCATTTGTTGTATCGATTCCAAAAGCGCCTGTCCCAGGAGTTTTGTTTTAATTTCTTGGTCTTAATTCATACTACTTAATGTTAAAAAAATCTGGCTACATTACTTAGTTTGAGAGGATCCCATTTTTTTATTTGCATTTTGGATGACTACATATGTGAAATGTCTTTTCATAGGTTTTTGTATATTTTTATGTCTTCCTGTAGAGAAGCAAATATTCAGATTCTTTGTTCATTTTGATTGTCTTTTTCTTGTACGTTACAAGGGTTCCTTGGATTCTCTTTTTTCATTTCACTCTATTTCCTGTTATGGTGTAAAGTAGCCTAAATTAGTCAACCCATCTGTCTTTATATAGTCATTATTCAGTCTCTCTTTATAGCCCCTAACTTACCCACTCCTCCTCCTCCTCCTCCTCCTCCTCCTCCTCCTCCTCCTCCTCCTCCTCCTCGTCTTCTTTTAAAGACAGGTTATTTTTGTGTAGCCCTGCCTGTCCTGGAACTAGCTTTGTAGAAGAGGCCAGCCTGGAACTCAGAGATGTACCTGCCTCTGCCTCCTGAGTTCTGGGGTTAAAGGCTGTGTCACCACCACCACCACCACCTGGTTTTTCATATGGGATCAGACTCAGATCCTCATGTTCACATTGCAAGCACTTAATCAATAGCTGAAGGCATCACCCTAGCCCTCCTGAGGACACACATAATATTATTTATTAGCATATTTTATGCAGGGTATCCATTAACTAATTATAATTTTATTTATTGTTGTTATTATTATTATTTCTTTGAGACAGGATCTCACTATTTAGCCCTGGCAGTCCTGGAACTCACTCTGTAGAGCAGCCTGGCCTCAAATTCAGAGAGATCCACCTGCTTCTGCCTCCTGAGTGCTGGGATTAAAGGCGTGTACCATTATGCCCAGCTTAATTTATATTTTTAATAGTTTCATCTGCTAACTTACATACTATCATTACAATAGTTTACCTATCACCTTAGCAATAGTGTCTCTGTGTTTAGTGTAAAGGCAATGTGAGAAAATTATGTGTATTAACAGTCTTTTTTATCTTTGTACTACATGCATCATGGTGCCTTGCTTTAGGAAAGGTAGCACTACTAGGTAGGTAGTTTTTAATTATATGTCAGCCTGAGATTAATGCTTATAAAATAATTAGCACATATTTTCCCCTAGGTACAAAAACCCGACATGATAGATTATTTGTGTAGTCAAATATGTTATACTAGTCTCACCTTAGTCTCTTCTGTCTCAGAAAAAGAGCAACATAGTAGGCCACAGCATTTGGAGGGAGCTTAACTTGTATTGTTTTTATTTGTTTAGGGCCTATTACCTTTTGCGGTGGTAGGAAGCATGGAGGAGGTGAAAGTTGGAAAAAGGATGGTCAGAGGCCGTCACTACCCTTGGGGAGTTTTGCAAGGTAAGCATGAGATTGTGTTTCCTGATGATTAAACCCAGTATATACTGTGTCATCCATAGTCTCAAACAGCATTTTGATCTGAGCCAGTGCTGACAACTCTAGCTGGCGTGTAGGTTAGTAGCTGCTAATGAGGAACACAGATTCCATTTCACTGAAGCTTCCACTTACAGTGGCTATGATTCCTTCTCATGGGACAGTTGTTCTCAACTTTCCTAATGCTGGGACCCTCTAATTCCTCATGTTGTAGCAACCCGCCCACCATAAAACTCATTGTTACGTGAGAACTGTGATTTTTCTACTGCTATGAATCATAGTGTAAATGTCTGAAATGCGGGACGACCAACATGAGACTCCCGACCCACAGACTGAGAACCACCGCTGTAGGATTTGCCAGAAGCTGATGTAGACCCACACCTACAAAGCCTCCTTGTTTAACCCATGCGCCACAGGCACTCGGTCTCTGTGCCTCAGAATGCCGGGGGCTCCTTTTAACAAAACTGAAGAGTAGATTTTAGTGCCTTTAAGAAAAGATGAGAGCCTACCACCTAGATCCACCTGCCCAGGATGGCAGCGCCCACAGTGGGATGAGCCTTTCTGCATCAGTTAGCTGTCAAGAAAATGCTCTACAGACTCGTCAATAGACCAATCTGATCGGAGGCAACTCGTCCACTCAGCTTCCCTCTTCCCTGGTGTGTGGGGTTGAAACCAAGATCAGATATCACACAGGCTAAATCAATAGGAGAAATAATCGGTGAGATCAAAGTTTTTGTTTTTTGATATGCATGAGAGAAAGAGAGAGAGAGAGACAGAGACAGAGAGAGACAGAGACAGAGAGAGACAGAGACAGACACAGAGAGAGACACACAGAAGAGACAGAGAGAGAGAGAGAGAGAGAGAGAGAGAGAGAGAGAGGAAATGGGCGAAGAAAAAGCTGGAAACAGCATGAAAAAAGAGCAAAGTATTTGGATTGAGAACAACCAAAATGGTAGGAAGCTCTTATTAACCAGGTAATAACAGAAACCCTCCGTGATGAATTTATAATTTTTTTTTGACTAGTGGAAAATGAGAATCACTGTGACTTTGTGAAGCTCCGGGATTTGCTTTTGTGTACTAGTATGGAGGACCTGAAGGATCAAACCCACACCCAGCATTACGAATGCTACAGGAGCAGCAGACTGCAGAACCTGGGCTTCAATGACATGGGCCCCAACAATCAGCTAGTGAGGTGAGTGAAGACTTTGCCACCAGGCTGGTGGTTAGTTAGGAGTGCTTGCTGCCCTTTTAGAGGGCCCAGGTTCAAATCCCAGCACCGCATGACACCTCACAATTATCTGTAGCTCCAGTTCTAGCGGATCCAATGCCCTCTTCTGGCTTCGGTGGGCACCTGGCCTATGCGATCTACATAGACATGCATGCAGATTAACACTCAAACATGTAAAATTAGAAGTAAACAAGTCTTAAAAAAGAAATTGCTCTTAATGTATAAATTGATCCTTTAGGATGTCCTTAAAACCACAAGGCGTGCTCATTCATGAAGCATGAGAGGATACGGCTCATTGAACTTTTAGGTTTTTAAGAGTTTTGGATGTAGATGGAGAGAGACATCAGGAGCAACATCATGACAGGACTCATTTTTACGCTAGTGTGTACAATATTGCATGTTTTGATCTGTGAGCTCCAGGGAAAACATTATGCTTTAAAAACATTTGTTTTATGCAAAACAGAGGCTCATAGAGGAATAATCAAGTATTGGCATTTATTAATAAAACTCACAAGGGTTTTGAGAAGAACTTGCTGGAAAACATTGAAAAGCAGTTACATAAAGTGCTAAAAGTCAGGTGAAAAAAAACTATGAACGGAAGAACATTTATGTCACAGTAATAATATTTTGGCTACAAAAGTATGGACAATACGGTTGGAATATGTTCATGTTGTAGCAGTCATGGTTTTCTGGAGACAATCAAAACTGAACCATCTTTGTATGTGTGCATGTGTGTTGTGAGGCAGATTTTTTTCCTGGAGAGATGCAACACACACACACACACACACACACACACACACCAATTAGTTTTCTCCAGAAAGGGAGCCCAGGTGAAGGGTGTTTGTCATGTTGAAATTCTTCTCAATCACTTTTTTGAGACAGGGTCTCCCATTAAACTTGCAGTTTGCAGGAGTCCTCTGGAATCTGTTTCCCCAGCCCTGGGATTATAGGCATGTACTGCTGTTCCCAGCTTTGATTTTTTTTTCATTTGGGTTCTGAGGACCCAAACTCATATCCGTGTGTGTGTGTGTGTGTGTGTGTGTGTGTGTGTGTGTGTGTGTGTGTTGGCAGCCACTTTATCCACTGTGCCAGTGGGTTCTCAACCTTCCTAATGCTACAACCCTTTAATATAGTTCCTTAGGTTTTGGTGATCCCCAGCCATAGAATTACTTCGTTGCTACTTCGTAACTGTAATTTTCTGTTGTTAAGAATCATGATGCAAATATATGACATGTAGGCTATCTGATATGTGACCCCCATGGGGGTCACCACCCACAGGTTAGGAACTACTGCATCGAACCATCTCCTCAGTCCTGAACTATGTTAAGTGAATTATATTTTAAAGGATACTTATTTGGGCCGGGCGGTGGTGGCGCACGCCTTTAATCCCAGCACTCGGGAGGCAGAGGCAGGCGGATCTCCGTGAGTTCGAGGCTGGGCTGGACCGATAGCCTCCAAAACAATACAGAGAAACCCTGTCTCGAAAAAACCAAAAAAAAAAAAAGATACTTATTTGAATTATTTTGAGAACAGTCTCATACCTTAGAGTTTTCCTAAGACGCTGTTGTCCAAAGATCAGACCTCTTGATGTGGTGGCACACACTTTTAATCCTAGCACTTGGGAGGCAGAGGCTGGTGAGTCCCTGTAAATTAGAGGACAGTTTGTTCTACATAGCAAGTTCCAGGCCAGCCAGAGATCCTGTCTCAAAAACAAAGCAAAACAAACAAAAACACTAAACCCACAACAACAACAAAACCCGGGGAAATAAAATATTGGCTTTGGGAGCAAGAAATCACTGATATAGTTGTTTGAAATTTTAGTGGTCATATACTCACATAATTAATTTATCCCAATTTTTACACCTCATCATGTAGAAATGTGTTCTGTTGCTACACAGAATATTGGTGAATGTCAATTTAGAAACACACACACATATGTAATGTCAATCCGTATTAGCACTTAAAAACAATTTTAAAAAATTTACACTTATTTATTTTGCATGTGTGCACCTATGCAGAGGTCAGAGGGCAGCTTGCAGGACTTGGCTTTCTCCTACTGCACGGGTCCTGGGCATTAACTCAGGTATTTTTTTTCGTTAGAGTGGGAACGCTAACCTGCCAAGCCATCTCACCCGGGTCTTTACGAGCGCCTTCAGTTCAAGAATAACGAGCTTTCGCTTTTAGTTTCCAGGAGATGTATGAAGCCAAAAGACAAGAGTTCCAGGGTCAGTGTCAGAGGGAGGAGGAAGGACTGAAGCAGACGTTCATGCAGCGAGTCAAGGAGAAGGAGCTGACCTTCAAGGACGCTGAAAAGGAGGCATGTACTACCAACCGCAAGTCCGTTCTCCGCGTGCTATTCTGGGGGCGGGGGGGGGGGATGAGCCCCAGTGCCTTCTTATTTTCGAAGAAACTTTCCAGCCATCCTGTGACAGAGCCCCCAGGCTGTCTATGGTATCTTTTGAAATCTGTGTGGTGGCTTCTTGGCTTCACAGCCCCTGCCTCGTGCGTGCCCACAGAATTAGCGTCATGCCACAGAACCCAAGATTTATAATTTGTACCTTCCGGAACATCAGAAGCAGCCATACCTGCCCCCACTTGATGTTGGCTGGGGTTACTAAGGAGTACTGTGGCAGTACACAGCAGTGAATCCTGAGGTCACTGCGACACCTGTCCAGATAGCCTGCTTCCAAGACCTCCCGAACCCCTCAAGGCCATTCTCCATTGTATTCATGAATATAACTGATTCCTAACTATATTAATCTCTTTAGCAAAGGGTTGCCTGGACATATCCTGAGCATTCTTTTGAAAACTTCTTTATATTGTAACTTCAGTTTTCATTAATTTTATTATTTCCAATTAGTTATGAATTCAATCTTTAGGTTTTTGTTTTGTTTTGTTTTTTTGAGACTGGGTTTCTCTGTGTAACAGTCTTGGCTGTACTGGAACGCATTCTGTAGATCAGGCTGGCCTTTGAACTTACAGAGATCAGCCTGTCTCTGCTTCTCAAGTGCTGGGATCAATGGCTTGCCTCATCACAGCCTAGCTTCAATCTTCAATCTTTAGTCTCTCTCTCTCTCTCTCTCTCTCTCTCTCTCTCTCTCTCTCTCTCTCTCTCTCTCTCTCTCTCTCTCTCTCTCTCTCTCTCTCTCTTGTTTTTGTTTTTGTTTTGAGACAGGGTTTCTCTGTGTAACAGCCTGGCTGTTCTGGAACTCACTTTGCAGACCAGGCTGACCTCAAACTCACAGAGATCCACCTGTCTCTGCCTCCCATGTTCTGGGATTAATGGCATGCGCCACCACCACCTGGCTCTTGACCCCTTTTAAGGGCTTCCATCTTCCTTGTGGAAGTCCAAGGATTTTAAATAAGTGTTTCTTGGGTCATACTCTGACTTTTGGATTCCGAGAATCGTTGTGACTCCTGGGTTGCTTCTTCTCTTTATAGCTGCAGGACAAGTTTGAACACCTGAAGAGAATCCAGCAAGAGGAGACCTTGAGACTGGAAGACGAGAGAAGAAAACTAGAGGAGCAGATCATAGACTTTTATAAAATGAAGACTGCCTCTGAGACGTCACAGGCTCAGGTGTGCGCCAGCGTGAAGAAGGACAAAGAGCGTAAGAAATGACCTGTCCTCACCGTTCCGGAGGACTCTCCCCACCATTCTCCATTCATATACCCGTGAGCTTGTCTTCTTAGCACTGAACTTCGTCTGGAATTCTAACGTTTTCAAAAACAATTTAGTGTGTGTCATTCTCCACGAGAGTGTCAAATACTCAGGAGACAGATACTACGTGTATCTTGTTAGGGGTTGAAACAGAGTAGCACTCAATAGTACCCAGTAAATATTTTACTAACTGAAATAGCCAAGAAGTATATAGATACTATAGACAGTTATGATCAGAGAGTGGACATTCCTTTACCATAGATGTGCCTTTGACTCCAGTAGTGATTTGTACAGTTTCTGTCTCCTTAGAGTTTTTACTTTGTGTGTGTTTTGTTTCTTTCATGACAGGTTCTCACTATATAGCCCTAGCTGTCCTGAAAATCTTTGTGAGATAGGTCTGGCCTTGAGCAGCAATCCTCCTGCTTCAGCCTCCAGAGTTCTGAGATTATAAACATAAGCCACCATGCCTAGCTCTATTGAATTTCTCTTGAGGATGCATAGGCATAAAGTATTGTTATACAGGTAATCATTGGTTATTCCTTTACCAAATTCTGTTGATAGCAATTCTTGATAACTTGAGTTGCAATGAAGTACCATGTTTTGATTAGAACTCCTCTGTGATTTGGTGTCAGATTTGTAGAAGTATAAAATGAAAAGATTAAAAACCTAGATAGCAACAGGCTATAGTGACAGGCTTCAAGATTTTGGTTATATGCTAAAGTCATCAAAGTATACAGTATGGGATATGTTTTTTTCATTTAAAACTCCCTTCTTATTTTTATAGACTGAGGGCTTTTTAAAATTTTAAATGTTTTTTATTAGTTACTTATTTGATGTTTTGGTTTTGAGCCTAGACGTTAATAGCTGAATTGTCTCTCAGTCCCAGTTACTGATTTGAATGTGGTTGACCTTCATCTTGACTTATTCTATTACAATGCAGCCTTTGAGGGACTTTGTCTTTGTGTACTTCAACCACATTTGGATCAATTCTTTCTTTCTTTTTTTTTTTTTTGGTTTTAGAGACAGGGTTTCTCTGTATTGTTTTGGAGGCTGTTGGTCCAGCCTGGCCTCGAACTCACAGAGATCCTCCTGCCTCTGCCTCCCCAGTGCTGGGATTAAAGGCGTGCGCCACCACCGCCCGGCGGATCAATTCTTTCTTAATAGTTCTGATTAAAGTATATTTCTAATGAAATTGTAATGTTGCCTCCGTTTCAAATGCAACATTTAAGGCTAGCACTATATACTCTCAAAATACAACTTGTAGCTTATACTTACAATATCTTCATGGGCAAGTTTTATGCAGAAAGTTATGAGAAAGAGAAATACACAATCTGTTTCAAGTATGTTAGTAAGTCATCTTACAAATGGGATAAGAAAGAAATATAATACATGTATAATGTAGTGGCAACTATAGAAGGACAAAGACCCTTGTTCTGATAATTTATATATTCATTCCTAGTCTTAGGACAATTCTTAAAGCACATTGGTACTATTAATTGAATAAATAATTCCAGTAGTAGTGTGCTACCTGAGTTATACTCGTGGATAGTTTAATTTAGCTAATTGACTTTTTTATTTTTTTGAGAAAGGGTTTCCCTGTATCTGTAGCTGTCCTGGAACTCATTCTGTAGACCAGGCTGCCCTTGAATGCCCCATGTCTATGTCTCCTGAGTGCTGGGATAGTGCACCACCACTACTGAGCTAGATAATTGACTTTCAAATGTAATATAGTACATTACTGTTTTTTCGATATGGCTGTGAGTTATATTGATGAAATGTTTTTATATTTCCATTCTTTAATCTTAATGCAGTGCTTCTAACATTAGAACTGACAATGTTATATAATAGATAAAAATCAATAAAATTCATCTTGTGTGTTAGTGATTTTTCCACCCCTCTTACCAAATTACTTTATCTAAGTAACTTAACAAGAAATTCCTATTTTAACTCATGGTTCCGGGGAGTCCAGTCTTTTGCAGTTTGCAAGGAATGCAGGATAGTTCAGTTTACGGCATGGTGGGTTGGGATAGAGATCAAGACAGAAAGTGGCTAAGATACATTCCCAGTGGCCAACTTTTTCCAGTTGTCTAACATTTCCTAAAGCTGACTTGATCTCCCCAAATAATATCACTGAGTCTCAAACATTGAAAGCATGAACATAGTGGGAAATTTTCATATTCAAGCCACAGCATTGTATCAGTGAACCAAAATGGTATGGCTATCTCATAACACAAGATGTCCCCAAGCGGTATAAGTTCTCACATTTTTTTCAAAGTCTAAGTCCAAAGTCTCTTGTGTCTGAAAACAAACTCCTAACTGTGATCCTTGTAAAATACAATAAATAAAAAACAAGTTTTGAATATCCAAGATAAAATATCAGAGGTCAAACCTCTTTAGAGACAGGAGTTGGGAACATAGAAAGGAGAGATTGGGCCAAGTCAAGACTGAAATCCAGCAGGGCAAGCTCCGTGTTCTGCATCTGGGGCACGTATTGGAATCATCTGAACTCCAATGGGTGTGGGCAGCCTCATCTCCGTGGCATTGCTACATGGCCTCGTTCATTCCCTGCATCTTTGCTCAGAAAGCACTTCTTGTTCCGAGCATCTTCAGCATTGATGTTTCGAAGCTTTAGCCCCGCCCCTTTCTGTATGATAGGGTCTCATGATGTATCCCTAGATGGCCTGAAACTTGTTACGTAGACCAGGTTAGCCTCAAAAGTAGAGATCTGCCTGGCTCTGCCTCCAAGTGCTGGAGTTGGTTAGTGCATTCGTCACAGCGCTAGAATTTTATCTTCATTCTTACAGCTTCATTCACTGCCCTCTTCTGCAGTCAGTTTGACCCTGCTGCACATTGCCTGGTTTTTAAGCCCTTCCTTAAAAATCCCAGTGGGAGCTGTAGGGGCCCTGAATATCTACAAAGCCAGTACCTTGTGGATGATGTCATAGTCAACTACCAGCTGGAGCAGTAGAGAGTCACTCTTGGAGCAGTAGAGAGTCACTCTTGGAGCAGTAGAGACTCATTCTTGGAGTAGTAGAGAGTCACTCTTGGAGCAGTAGAGACTCATTCTTGGAGTAGTAGAGAGTCACTCTTGGAGCAGTAGAGACTCATTCTTGGAGTAGTAGAGAGTCACTCTTGGAGCAGCAGAGAGTCACTCTTGGAGCAGCAGAGTCACTGTTGGAGCAGTGCTGCAGTGGCTTCTAAGGACTTGGGAACCTGAACCCAGGACACACTTCTTTGGGTGGTCTTGTATCAGGGTGCCCCAGTGGCTCTCTCTTCTCTTTTTAATGGGTTTACAATTTGATATCCTGGAACCTAAGGTAGGTGGCATTTGGCCAATTTCCTATTATCCCAAGTAAAGTATTTGTCGTCTCTTCAACAGGCACAAATAATCCCCTTAACAATAAAATTTTCGTGTCCATGACTTTTGACTTGAACCTTTTCTGGTTAAGCACCATGTTTTTCAAATCATCATGCTCTAGTGTTTTTTTCTTCCAAATCCACATTGTCCACCCGCGATAATCATGCCACATTTGAAAGTTATGCTGTCTTGAAATTTTCTCTGGCAGATTTAACTAGTTCAACACCATTAAACTCAGCCACTCACAAAGTTTCAGAATGTGAACAAGATATATACAAAGTCTTCCAGTTAAGATGAATGGCCTTTGGTCCAATTCCCATTACAATTCCCATCTGAAATCTCATGAGCCATCTTTACTACAGACATTCTGGTTACCTTTCTGTTACTGTGATAAAACATCATAGCCACAGTAGCGTATAGAAGGGAAAGTTTATTTACGCTTACGTTTTCAGAGGACTAAGAGTCCATCAGGATAAGGAAGCATGGTAGCCAGCAGATGTGGTGGCCAGAGCAGGACGCTGAGAGATCCCATCCTCAACATCAGTCCCAAGGCAGAGAGAGTGAACTGGGAACCAAGTGTTCAAATGCTTGAGCCTATGGGGGATGTTTTGTTATTCCGTGGAACCCCCAAAGTCATCTATTAAACATTCTAGGGCTTCTCTAGACCACAGCTCCAAATTCTTCCAAATTCCTTTCGCGAACTAGTTCGAAGGGCCTACGAGCCTGATGGCCAGGCTGAGTCTCAACAGCCACACTTCTCAGGTACCAATTTCCTTCACTGGCCCCTGTCTTTGTTACTGTTATGTTGCTGTGGCAGAGTGCCATTGTAAGGGAATGAAGGAGGGAAGGGTTTAATTCGGGCTATGGTTCCAGAGGGACGAGAGTTCGTCAGCAGAAGGGTGGAGGCGAGAGGCAGCAACCAGGCACGGTAGCTGGAGCTGATTGCTGAGGGCCTACATCCTGAGACACAGACAAAGCGGGGATGGCCAACTCAAAACGGCACATGCCGTTAAGCTCTGAACACCCGACACACTTCCTCCTGCGAGGTCACACTTCATAGGTCACACTCCTAGCTTGAGGCACACTTCCCCATGCAGCACTGCCTGGGGACCAAGTATTCAAATGCCAAAGACCATGGGGGACATGTCATTCAAACCACTGTACACATACGTACGTATGTACATACATACATACATACATACATACATACTTCCCTTTTCCATCACTGTGGACAACTTATTGGACACAGATAACTTACCAGAATAAAGATTTTGGCTAATGGTTTTTTTTTTTTTTGGTTTTACAAGACAGGGTTTCTCTGTATTGTTTTGGAGGCTGTCGGTCCAGCCTAGCCTCGAACTCACTTGGCTAATGGTTTTTAATAGTTCAGTCTTTTCATGTAAGGTGTGGTGAAGCAGTTCAGCTTACACAATGGAAGGCTGGAAACAGGAAGAAGCTGGGGATAAGACACTACAGAGGTCCCCTCGTTAGTGCCCCATATCTTCCAGCCTGGCTCTACCATCTCAAGTTTCCATCATGCCCCAACACAGCACCACAAACCAGAGAACAACCAAACATGGCCGGTTGAGGACATTTCCTATTCAGCTCAGAGCACTGTGTAAAACTTGTCACTCTGCCCCACTCCCATTACTTCATTAAGTTAACATGTACACAGAAGACACACAGTGTGTGTTTATGTGGATCCACGTGCTTTGGCATAGTTGCATGTACATACATGCTAGAGTCTATCTATAGGTGCGGATCTCATTGTTCATGGTTGTATGCATATGTCCGGTTATGTGTGCTCACATGTGCCTGTGAGTGCTTTGGGACCCTGGAAGCAGCCAGGCTGGGAGCAACAGCAGCAGGGTTCTGGTGCACACTTCTCTAGTTGGGTTGAAGAAGCCCACACCCTGGTGTCCAAGAATGAGAAGTCCGTGCATCAGGACACCGGTGTTGGCAAGCAACACTCTAGGCTGCTTATTGGTTTGGTATTATAATGGGTAGATTGTACAGTGAATAATTACCAGGTTATTCCTTTTGTTGATCTTTATGCCATGCAAATTACTGAATAAATTATTAATCCATTATGACTATGATGTAATTCCTTCTCATTGTCAAGTATTGTGAGAAGCGCCTGCCCAGAGAAGTAACATATAAATGTTACTAACAACTATACTCATACTGTTTTAAACAGAGAAGTAACATATAAATGTTATTAACTAACAACTATACTCATACTTTTTTAAACAGATGTTTCACACATTTCAGCAACATCAATCCTTACTTCATTTGCATGTTCCTTGTTTTTAGCATTTATGATAATGAGCATTTTGATTTCTGTAAATGTTGTCTACTTTTCTACTGTGTATTTGTTTAACAATCATTAAATAGTCTGTTGTCCTTAAGTAGGTAGCCTTTTAGCAAATGTTCTTTGTGCAGGATTTTTTTTTTTAATTGTGCTGGAATTCTTGGTTATCCGCAGGCATGAGTTTAACCGGGCTAGGGCTTCTTTTCTTTCCACCTGCTTGGATTGCTGATATTCATTTTTCAGTGCAAACATGTTCTTGGTGGTTGTCAGCTAACAAGGAGGCTCTGCCTTAAAGAAAGTGTAGCTCGAATCAGTCATTTTCTCCAGACTCAGTCTGAGATTGGTAACACGCACTGTCACTCACGGCCAAGGGCCTGAATCCTGGTCCAATC